CTACAATCTTCTGACTAATGCAGCCCACTAGATTTTTTTAACCCCTAGGCCTGCAAATCCCAGCTTTAAAAGCAGCCAGCACTTTGAAAGCCCTGTCTTGGCAGAAAGCTAGATGAATATCGGGTGGGATGGGGTTGGGGGAATTCGGCAGCCTGGAACTGATGACAGGAACAAGGCCATTTGACCTATCCGGCCACATGCCTAACCTCAGAAGACAGGAAGGCAGGCCAGCCAAACAGCACGGCTCTGAAGAGTCCCCAAAATCAGACAGGAAGTCAACTGATTCAGGACTCCTGTCATACTGTCCTTGTGATCCATTCCAGGAGGAACCACCATCATCTTTTTGCAGCAGCCAAAGCAATACAAACAGAACACAGGCCTACATTAACTGTAAAAAGTATGGAGAGAGACAGGATACATCACACTGAGTTGTGCTGGTTAGTTTAAATTATGCATATCAGGGTTGAATTTTGTTAGTGGGCTAAAAAGTAGACCACCTGGTCTTGACTTACGAAGCTTCAAAACACAGGTGGGCTCTGGCCTCCAGTTCCCATAATCCTCCATCACTGCCTAGAGCTGATAAGAGTCACACACGGACACTCACACACCCAAACTAGAAAGTTACAGTTGCCCACAGCACCTGAAAGATCTTGCTGTACCTCTTTCTATTAAACCAATGATGAATGCCCTGTCTGAACATCATGGGTGAATGGAAAGGTGTTCTCTGTAGCTTGAGAACTTTTGGTTTTCCAGGTAATTTTGGACTCAAACTTACATCGTCCCTGACCGTTAACTAACAATGATATCCAGACGGCCAAAATTTGTGACTCCTGCTACAGCTATTCCACATCTACAAAATATTTTCCCCTGGAGACTGATTATACTCCTCCTCCATGTATTTCTGAAACGGCTGGCAAGATCAACTGATTTCCATTACTTGCTGTAATAATGCTTGCAAACACAGCATTATTACCAGCGAGCGCTAATGACAGCGGTGAAAAGTAGGGCTCTATAAATCCCAGGTAAGCATCAAACTTTACTACTAAAGAATACTGGAAAATGTAAGCACATGGGGAGCATTTAAAGCAGAGGTAAGGAACGTGTAGCCTGTTTATGAACTCCAGCTCCCATCAGCCTTCAGCTGCTTGGGCAAGAATAGAGCACAATGACATTAGGAGTTCATTCGATATTCAGGGGTCCAAACGTTTCCTACACCTCTTTATCAGTATATCTTGTGCTCTTTGTTAGAATAAATTAAGTGACTGTCAACCACATACTACATATACACAAGTCAGCCAATTATAAAATTGCAGGGGTGAGTAAACAGGTATCAAGCAGAATTTAGAAAAAAAACCCAGATTGTTCTCCATTCCATGCCCAACCATAACAAGCGACGTGTTGGAACGCTTCTCTAAAATTGAAGCATTCGGGTCTTCTCCGCTCCATACCAAATGTAGCGGCAACTCTTCCAGCGTCCCATCTTCCGTCAGTTCAATTTCGGCCCCAACTTCCATCCTTGCTACCGTCTCCGTTGTGGCCTGAAACAAGGAAAAAACAGACTGTGTGATCTTCACCTTCTCCCAAAAGCCAACATTTGGAATTGAGAAAGCCACACGTGGACAAACCCCCCGAGTTTGGACATTTGCGAGAAAAATATTCCTGAAGGATTACTGGACAGGACTCTGGACTCCAACAAACTGGGAACTCGACAGAGGCCAAGGTCCTCCCACTAAATTGCATGAAAGAAAAGTGCAGCTGATGGGGGCAAAAGGAAAAATTGCACCTGTTCAATAGACCCATCCATTTTAAACAACTGTGCTTATGGCTAGACACGAGATGTTCATCTTCGTCTCCCAGGGGAGACGAATATGAATTTTGGCACCATAGTTGTCTAAAATGTTTGTAAACACACACACAATAAGTGAACCGGACAGTTCACTTATTGGTCACCACGTGGTGTGCGCAGCCAGAGACATTCTCATTGCACCAATCGAGGAAGCAGCCCGCCTGACGCTTTCCTGCCTCCCCATGCAGCTGACTGCTCAGCAGCTGTGTGAGGAGGCTCTTTATCCCACCTCCTCGCTGGAGTGGTCGGCTGCGTGGGGAGGTGGGGAAGCGCCAGCCGGGCTGCTTCCTGGATTGGCACAAAAAGACAGGCATGTATACCATGTGGTGACCAATAAGTGGAGAGCCAGTTTTTTGGGGGGTATTGGGGGAAATAGGGTCTAAAATGTTCCAGGCACCTGTGGTGCTAATATTTGTATTTGTCTCCCTTGGGAGATGAATACGAACATCCCACGTCTACGAAGAACTATTATTCCAATTGGACATAATGTTGTATGAAGTGTGCACAAGACTGCAGCTATAAAGAGCAAGAAGCCCTTCCTTTACATTGCATCGTTCAATTGGTCTCTCAACTTCCTAGTTCTCAGGGAGAAACTCCAAGTTCTCATTGCAGTATATGCCACTTTGCATGCTGCCTTTCATAGGTTTGGCTTGGAGGAATATTTCTGGACTGCAGTGACCGTCAAACTGTCCAGCACTAACCAATCATGTGCCTCTGAATTCAAAGAGAGCCCCACCTCTCTGCTTTGCGTCTCTTTCCCCTCTCTTGAGCCTGTTCAGGTCTGCTGCCGAAAGCAGTCACGGGTGTCAGTTTGCTGTTTGATCTGTTCTATTGTAAGCAATGAAAAAAATTTATTCATTCTCCTCCTAATGTCTCAGAATGAGTTATTGCGACTGTAAGTGCCAGTTCATGAGAAAAGAGGTGGATCGCCTGAGGAAATGGAAGCTGTTTTACTCTGTGAATCCCTGCACTTCTGCTTTTGCAGCTAAAAGAAATTTAACCAAAAAATGCAAAACTCTTGCACAGTTCCGTCTCCAGGCCTGGAATCCAAAGGCGGCACGTGGTCTCCAGCAGGGCTGGGGGCCAGCTGACC